ATTTATGGAAGACTCTTCAAGAGAAGTGTCAAATGTCTGGAAATTTCCATTTTTTTTCCAGGAAAAAACGTTTTTTTCCATTCTGTTCCCCCCCCCCAGAAAAAAGAAATGTAATGAAATGTCACATCTCTTCATACATTCAAAAAAGACAAACCCACATATATAGATTATATATATATTAAATATACTGAATATAATAAAAAGCACCCAGGGAGCCTCTCCTGCGTTCTGGGAGGGATTGCTCCCTTTTCCACCCACCAAGGCACCCCCAGCTCATTACGTTCATTACCGTAATTAAGACTAATTGCTCCACAAGCCCATCCTTGGCGCGTCTGGTCACATAAATGAGAAGGAAATACAATAATATAAAACAAAATTTTGATTTCTCTGCCCCTCCCCCCACAGGCGGAGAGTGGGGAAGGGGTTCCCCTCCTACCCTCCCCCCATGTGGGAGGGGCCTAATTAGAGGGGGAGGGGCGCCCCCACTCACCCCTTTCGCCCCTTTCTTGGCTCCCCACCGACTTTACTCCGGCTCCATCACTAAGGCCACGGCTCCCCTAGCAACGGCTCGGACGCTACTGCGCAGGCGCGGGCGGAGCGGCATTGTGACGGCCGAGGAACAGAGAGAACCTTCCGTTGGAAAGCCTAGAGAGGTCGGCGCGTCAAGCGGAACTTCCTGGTACTGTTTCTTTAAGAGCCGGCGAGGAAGGCGGTGCTCCTCCTTGACGAGCCGCCCTGCTGGCCAATCAGCCAGCACGTCCTTTGGCCTGAGGGCTGAGGAAACCGGTTGCGGGGAGCCGTGGGTTCGAGTCCGACCTCCGCCGCGATGGCGCTGAAAGGCTTCCGAATCCGCCGCCTGAGCGGCCACCGGAAATACGGGGTAGCGGCCACGAACTTGGAGGACCTGCTCTGCAAAGTCTGCGCCCTCCTGCAGGTGCGAAGGGGGGGCCTGAGGACCCCCAAAAGTTTGGGTGGAGGCGGTGGGAAAGAAGCGCCTGCACTGCCTCCTGCTGGCGACGCCCGGGAACTGCAAGGGAAGAAAAGAACGGGCAGTGAAGTCCATGAAAGGGTTAAAGAAAGGGGGCGGTGCCGTCCCAGTTTTCAATGGACTCCAGCTCCTATCAGCCCTCACTGCCCTAGCTAGTAGTGGGGGATGATGGGAGTTGCAGTCCAGCACATCCAGACAGGCAGGAGCTCCTCCTCCAGGAAAAACACCACCCACCAAGGAGGTTCCCTGCCGTGCCTCTGCATGAGTGGCGGCTGCCCATTTTTAAAAAAAGGCTGAGTGGAATTTTTTTTGTTTTAGTATTTATCATGCCTGAACAAGGTTAGAATTTAGGAGGCTGCCTTCCTTCCCGGGTTCCCGACTCAGAAAACTTACTTTTTAAGACTACGACACCCAGATGCCCCTGCCCTCACTCAGCAATCTCAGACAAGATCAGGTTTCAGAGTTTTGCAAATACAGTGGTGCCTCGCTAGACGATGATAATCCATTCCACTGAAATCGCTGTTTAGCGAAATCATCATCTAGCGAAAAGCATTTCCCTATTGGAATGCATTGAAACCTGTTTAATGCGTTCCAATGGGGAAGAATTGTCATTGTCTAGCGAAGATCGGCCATAGGAAAGCCACTTTGCAAACCGTCAATCAGCCTTTTAAATAGCTGTCTTGAGAAGCTTAGGTCCCGAAAACACCCGTTTTGCGAGCACGGAGGGAGCTGTCAAAATCGTCATCTAGTGAAAATCGGTTTGCGAAGCAGGGACCAAACATTGTCCAGCGAAGTTCCCCCATAGGAATCACTGTTTTGCGAATCGCTATAGCAATCGCAAAAAGCCAATGTTTAGCTAAAAAAACTGTCATGCGGGGTAATTGTCTAGCGAGGCGCCACTGTAGTCCTCTGAAGAAGAAACAAACGGCAGCTCCTTGATTTCATGTGTCACTTCCCTGACAGCTTCCTGTTGCCGATGCCCGGCTGTGTTTGCACGAGGACGGGATGGAGATAACGAAGGCCCGTTTCCAGAAAATCCCAGAGAATTCGGAGCTCGTCTTGTTAGCCCCTGGGGAGGAGTGGCAGGGCTGTGAGTACGGCTCAAGAATCTGTTCCATCCCATTTCACTTCTCATCGGCCATAGGCTACAGGCACTCCGATGAAATATAGGGCGACCCCCATCTCCGTGGAGGATTGGTTCCAAGCCCCCCGCGAATGCCGAAAGCCGCAGATACTAGCAAACGCTATAATAGTGTGGTAAAAGAGGAAAAAAATCCAGCATTTTTTTTCGCCATGTATTACCAGAATTGGTCACTAGAGGCAGAGACCATGCTGTGGATTCTTGTTGTTGCAGAATATATGACATTGTCTTTGGCTCCCTCTACTGTCTAGTTCTGGTAAATATGAATATATGCATTTGTACTGTATATTTTCTGGTGGTGTACAAGTGACACCATGGATGCAGATCCTGTGGATATAGGGTCCTCTTGTAACACAGTACGGTTACCAGAATTGTTTCTGTTTGTTCAGGTTTTAGAAATATCATGCCTACTTCTAAGGGCCGGTAACTTCCTTAAAAATTAAATTGGGGTCTATTTATAAGCCTGCATCCTAAAACCCCAGCCCTCCTTTCTTACTAGCTTCCAGGTCACCCCCTTTGGTATCAGCAGAATCTGTTCCGATTTCTCTTTAACCATATCTGTGTGATTATTTTTTTTTGCTCCTTTACCTGTGTTTACTTCTAGTTTTCAACTGGTTCTGGCAGTGCATGTGAAAATACTTTTTTTCTTCTTTTAATATTTTTAATATTTTCAGACTAAGGCTAAATGAAGCTGTGGATACTGATCCCGTGGCTATGGCGGTCCCACTCTAATAAAACTGATGTACTCTACAGGACTGTTTGTTGTGATGAGAATTTTTTTTTTTTTTTTTAAAGGAAGTGTGAGCTGTAATATTTCTGGGGATGTTTGTGGTTTTTCCGCCCCCGCCCTCCCCGGCCAACTCTCCAGATGTGAGTGAGATCCAGCGCTTTCTCAATGCCTTCTCCAGCCGAACAGAGGATATCGTGCGCGCCGCTCGGACGCTGCTCTCCGACGAGGGATCGCCCATGAGAAGGAAGGTGCTCTCGGACCTCGTGCACAACCTCAGCGAGAACATCGGCGCAGAAAACCGGGTGGAAGATGAAAAATGGTTTGAAGGTGCTTTTCTCTGTGGGGCAGACGAACTTTGGGGGGGGGAAGGGTTTGCTTCCCGTTTGCTGGTCTTTTTCCTTTCCACCTTTAAATCTGTGGGTGTCGCGAAGAGCTGCCTTGGCCAGTTCTGGGAAAAACGGGGAACATGCAATGAGTTTTTAAGGCTCACGGAAACACAAGAATGTTTAAAATTAAAGTGTATTTTTTTTTTAAAGCTTACGATCGACATTCTGAAAATGTCCAACTGGAACTATATTTGAATCACAGTTGTAACACTGAGACGAGCGGTCCTCGGCCGGGTGGGATACAGGAATCCTCAGTGCGGGATGCAGAGTTTTCCAGAACCGTTCCCCAGAACTGGTTTTCTCTCCATCCTCCAAACTTTCCCATTGCTGGCAAAGGAAGGATCAAAGATTAATAGGAATTCTTTCCCCTTTTTCAAGGGATTGAATCTCGCTTTAAGACAAAATCCAGTTACCTGCGTTTCAGTTGCGAGAGCAGGATCCGCAGTTACATGAAAGAGGTAAGACTCTGGCTTGCAAATATTGTTTATCCCCCTCCCCCCGTATCTCAGGGGCATCGTACTGCTGGGTCGTGGTTGGGCTTCAAGGTTTGGCTTTCAGAAACTGCTACCCGTTTGATTCTTTATTGCAGGGTGGATTTTTTTTTAAAAAAATCCATGATCTTTTAAAAATCAAATTGATTTAAATCGCAAAAATAAAAATCTGATCGATTTAAATCCTCAAAAAAATAATAATCAAAATTTTAATGTTTAAATCCACCTGGCTTTGTTGGTGTTTTATCCCTTTATATTTTTCTCCCTGCAAATGGCCAGTTCCCACAGCCGTGGAGGGAGTGGATCATGGAGTGCAATATGTTGATTTTCAGGATGTGTTGGGGAAGAAGTAAAGAAAGGGGAGGCAGGAGGTCCCCTGAAAGAAAGACCAAAACAGCGTAAAAATCTGGGAACTAGAGGCTCAAAATACAAAATATTAATTAAACGAAATCTTAATTTGGAGTAAAGGCATGCAGTCGTAGAATCATAAGAGTTGGAAGGGGCCTGTAAGGCCATTGAATCCAACCTCTGGCTCAAGGTAGGGCATAACCACACAAGCTATATGAAAATACAGGAGGACCCCGGTATCCACGGGGGATTGGCTCTAAGCGCCCCCTCCGTGGTTGTCAAAAAATCTGGAAATATCGAACCCTACCCATTGCATGGTCTTTGGCTCCCTCTTGTGGCCAATTCTGGTAAATACACCCTGCAAATGTATATAAATAGATATTTCTGTTTTTTTAAAAAATTTACTGTTGTATTCTTAGCCTGCGGATAAGTGACTCAGGGAATACTGATTCTGTGGATAGGATATCCCTGTTGTACATCCATCCCCTTGCCTGATGCCTTCTTTAGCACTGAAAATAAAATGATCAACGGCCTTTATAAGAAGCTGACTGACCAGACATATGAAGAGGAATATTAGATAAAGCCCGGCTCTTAGGCACCGTCCTACGGGTAGCTTTCCTGTCGTTTCCTCGAAGGTTGGTGGTTACGCTTCTACCATCCACCCGCCCGCCCGCGGGAAGTTCCTGCAGATTGTGGAAGCCATGCTGAAGAAGCTGAAGTCGGAAAGGTACAACGGCCGTTATTTTGACCGGACGGCGCAAGAGAACGCCTGCCTTTGCACCCCACAAGGCTGGTTCTCTTGTCAAGTAAGTTGAAATGCGTCTGGTGTCAAGCCACCTTCCGAGGCGCGAAAAGTTAATTTTCTTAGAGGTTCCCTGAGAGTCGAGAGTTTAAAAATATAGTGGCTTTTCTAAGTTCTTGCTTAATCGAGGAAGAGAGCGGGGGTGGGGGGGTGGGGTGTCCGCGGCTGCAGGCTCCTTCTAAATGTTATCCCCAGCTCACAAGTTGCCATGTTATCTCAGTGCTTCTGCTCTTAGGTGACAGAGGAACGGTGCGGTTTGGCGAAAGGCAGTAGGAAGGTGTGTCGATAATCCTTGGCCCATAGAGACAGAAAAAAAAGACAATTGGTTCTACATCCCTCAAAGGGGAACTGGCGACAAGCTGAGCCTTGAAGCCTTTAGCCTCAACTTTGAATCTTCACTCTCGTGTCAGATTCCATGGCTATATTAATCTGGTCTCTTCTGGGTCCTCATCTTACACTCTACTGGCTCTGCCAGTAAAGGTTTGATTTTTGCACCTCCGCTTTGCCCTGACTCTGGAAGTTTCCTACAAAGTTCCCTGCCACTGAAAATCTAGCTCCTCAGGGAAGCCGGTTTCGCAGTTTTCTTCCTGAGAGACTACTCTATGGCATGCAAGGTTTTTCTTTAACGTTGGGGAAAGTGATGCAAAATTAGGCTGTGTTAGCCGCTTCCTTTGGTGCGACAGGCTTTTTAACGCTGACCGTTTGGTGTTTTGTGTTCCCAAAGGGTCCGTTCGATGCAGAAAGCTGCCCTGGCCGGCACTCCATCAATCCGTATGGGAACAAAGAGAGTCGGATTCTATTCAGCACCTGGAACCTTGATCATGTGTAGGTACCTTGGCAATGGCTGGTGAAAGCAGGTTGTTACTCTGACTTACGGTGACCCTATGAATGAGTCCTCCCCAGCATCCCCTCTCCTTAACAGCCCCGCTCAGCTCCTGTAATATCAAGCTTGTGGCTTCCTTTACAGAGTCTGCCCATCTTGTATTGGGCCTTCCTCTTTTCCTGCTGATTTCCACCTTTACCAGCCTGACTGCCTTTTTCTAGAGAGCCATGCCTTCTCATGATGGGCCCAAAATAGAACGGCCTCAGTTCCAACATTTTTGCCTTCAGAGATCGTTCGGGCTTGATTTGATGTAGGAAAACAAAAAAACATTAACCCCAACCAATAGCTGAATCCTGATATTTGACAGCATGGTGAATTCTACATTTTTTCCGAGGGATGGTTAAGAATGGCTCAACATTTCTAGTTTTTAAAAAAGAATCCCCATCAATGCTGGAGGCACCCAAGAGGAAATTTAGGCAACCACCTGGCAGATCTGCTTAGATTTGGCTTTCCTGCCTTAAGCCGGGGGTTGGCTAGATGGCCTTCGAGGCCCCTTCCCACTCCCGTGATTCTCGGAGGCAAAAACCTTGGTCTTTCTTTTTCCGTTTCAGCATTGAGAAGAAACGGACGGTCCTTCCGACCTTAGCCGAAGCCGTCCAGGACCGGGAGGGGAAAGAAGTGAACTGGGAGTATTTCTACCGACTCCTGTTCACCGTCGACAACCTGAAGCTGGTGCACATCGTCTGCCACAAAAAAGCCAACCACAACCTCAGCTGCGACAAAAGGAAGGTCTATCGGAAACGCAAACGGCCCCCCAAGATCCGAAAATCACTGGTCTAGAGGCTGCGGGGGCCAAGAGATGAGTTTCTCATGCTGTGAAGGAGAGGCGGTCTTCCCTGTCCTTAAAGCCCCGAGGCCGAATCCAGCTCTCTTAGATCTTCAGACAGCCACGCTTCCTTTGCCTCCCTTACCATGGTGTGATGGTTTCTCAGAGTTTCCCTGCTCCTTGTGTACTTCTGGGGCTTACTTACTGGTAGGAAGAACTTTACTCAGAAAGAGGCTGGTATTTTTCATCTTACCTGCTTATCTGCGCTCTTGCCAAAGGTTTTGCACCCGTGATCTCTTCCGGACGGGGGGCTTGAATGCAGTCTCAACCCGCTAACTTCCTCCACTTCTGCACCAGCTCTGTTCACCTGCTTCTTTCAAGAGAGTGCCCAGTTAGCCCTCCTCGATGTGGGTGCTGATTGGCTAGTGCCTGTGCCGTCACCCTAACCAAAGAGCATGTTCTCTTCCAATCCACTAGGGATTTTTCATTTCTCCCATTATTATTATCATTTTTAATTAAACCTGCACAGCTTATTTATGTTAATAGGAACCTGGCTTGTTAGAAGGGTCTTGTTTCCCTCGGGGAAGCAAGAAGCAGATCGGAAGGAGTGTGATGCTTGACTTTTCCATACACCATAGGACCCTCCTATCTGCATGAGATCGGGTCCAACCCTGCCTCCTACAGATGCTGAAAAACAGGGATTATAGCAAGCAGTACAGTAGTATAATATCCATAGCATGGTCTCTGGCTCTCTCTCCTGGCCAGTTCTGGTAATGAGACTAGAAATACACATTATTTCTCTACTGTACGCCATACAGAGGGAGACATGGTCTCTGGCTCCCTCTAGTGGCCAGTTCTGGTACATTCACCTTTAGATAAAGCGACCTATTTGTAGAATTTCTCTTTTAATATTTTTAATATTTTCAAACTGTGAATACGTGAACTGGTGAATACTGATCCCGTAGATCAGTGTTGTATTGCTATTGACACCTCCTGTGTAGAAATTAATCAGAGATTAAAAGATTTAGTGGACGTCTGCGATGATTTTGTAGTTTCTCAATGGTATCATAGTTTACCTGCTGGACAGATTTTTTTAAAAAAACCCACAGCTATGTGAAACAGGCCTGCTTGTTTAATAAGAATAAATACAGTTTTGACATCAGCTCACTTCTCAGGAATCAAAGCGATGGGTACTAGTGCCTGTAAAATCAAATAAACGCCTCCTGAATTTCTACTACTGTCTGTACCTGTTCTTTAAAGGGAAAGGATAAGGGGCAACACTGTGTGAATGTTAAAAAGAGTGTCAGTGGAAAATTTGAGAAAGGAAAGCTGTTTATGAACCAGAATCTGTCTTGACTTCTGCCAACGTGCTTTATTCTGACGTTGGGGGCCGTATGTTAATAGGAGAGCAATTAACTGCTAAAATATTGCATCAGCCTTAAGGAAAAAGGGTTGGTCAGTGGCTAGACCTACAAAAGAGGTTTTGGAGGGAGGCAGGACTTGCAATGATCCTAGAACTGCAGAGCTGTAAAGGGCCGTATGGTCCCTGTGTATCATCGAGGGAGGCGGGACTAAAATTCAAAAGGGTGAAATTGAAAAGTGCAAAAATCTATACCTAAGGGTAAACACCCAAAAGCACAGTTACTAGATAGGGGGATCCTTGGTGCAGTCATACTACGAGCAAGAAGAAACTAGGAACGGTTGTAAATCACAAGCTGAATGTGAGCCAACCGTGTGATGTGGCTGCAAAACGCGGCCAATGTGATTTTCGGCTGCATTAACAGAAGTGGAGTTTCCAAATCCCACCAGGTGCTGGTCCTCCTCTATTCAGCACTGATCAGGCCTCACCTTGAGTACTGTGTCCAGTTCTGGACACCGCACTTCAAGAAAAGGCGAACAAATTGAAACAAGTGCAGAGGAGGGCGACAGGGAGGATCAGAGGGCTGGAAACCAAGCCTTAGGAGGAAAGGCTGAAAGAACTGGGCATGTTTATCCTTGAGGAAAGAGAGGAGATAGGATAGCACTAAAGAGAGGCTAGCCCTACAGAGGAGGGGCAGGATCTGTTCTCTATCATCCCAGAGTGCAGAACACACAAGAAGTTAAAGGAAGCCAGATTTCGGTTGAATCTCAGGAAAACTTCCTAACCGTTAGAGCAGTACGACAATGGAAACAATTCTGGAGGTGTCCCAAGAGTAACTTAAGCCAACCACTTGTCAAATCTGGTTCAACCTGAATCCCTGACTTGAGCAGGGCCTCGTGGGCCATTTCCAAAGCCATAATTTCATGGACAGAGGGGAAGGGCCATGACGGATGCGTTGCTCCACCTCTTTGCATCTCCATCCTCGTGCGGGTTGCAAGATCGGTCAGACAGCAGGAACCGTGGGTAGGCTTATAGGATGGGCCTTTCTGAACAGGATACCGGTCAAGGTGTTCCACACACCCCCCCCCAGTGCTGCTGCTGAAGGAGTGTTGGGTTTCCCCCCCTTGGACCAAAGCCAAATGGTTTGCCCTTTTTTTCAAATAGAGGGAAAGGGGTCTCTTGGTACCTGAACACAATCTTTTCCCTTACAAGCATTCTGGGAGTGGCCCATAACCCCAAATCTTCACCCTCCTGTAATATGTAATTTTGTAATATTTACCAGTGCTCCTGCGGAAGCTGCTGACCAGTTCTGTATTTTATATTAGGGATGTCATGACATTAAGAAGAAAAAAAAGATAATTCTGGAAGACACAAGAACTGCTGTTTGTAATCGCAAATAACAATCGGGCTTCATTTATTAATCGAACTTTGGTATGGCAATGGAACATTACTGTGCAAGAGAGTCAGGGGTAGCTTGAGGTTCCTCTCCAATTAGACAGGCTGGAGAGGGAGGGCGAGAGAGAGAACGCCCTGGCCTTCATACCCACCCTAGCACAATGAGCCTGTTGGCACAATGGTTAAACTGCAGTACTGCAGCCAAAACTCTGCTTGCGACCCGGGGTTCAATCCCAGGCAGCTGGCTCAAAGGCTCACTCAGCCTTCCGTCCTTCTGAGGTCGGTAAACTGAGTATCCAGCTTGCTGGTATGCGTGTGTGCATGTGAATGCCTAGCCTGCATCGTTGTAAACCACCCAGGGAGTGCTTTTAGCATGATGGGGCGGCATACAAGCAGCATCCTTCCCTTTTGCTTTGGGTCCCGAGATCTTCCTGGGCTGCCACCCCCAGAAATCCTGGCCAGCACAGCGAGGGGCAAAAGTCGCTGGGAGTTTTAGTCCCAAGAACATCTGGGTTGCTGAAGGTTGGGAACATCTGGTTTAACGGGAGCCTCTCGGTAAAGATGGCTGAGCTTCGATGTGCAGAGGCGGTGTGCCTCCGCAGGGGGATGCCGTTTCCCTCTGCCTGACATGGGAGGGCCCGGCGGTGGCGGGGGGGGGGGTTCCCATATCCACGGGTGGCCTCAAATGACCAGGGGATGGAAGCCTCCCTGCCCTTCCCTTCCCTTCATGCCTGATGGGCCTCCTCTTTCAAGCATCTCTCTGGAGCCTTGCTGGAAACCGGATGGGGACCGAGACGATGGACCTTCAGGATTAACTAGCGGGGTTCAACTTCAGTCCTCGCTGTCCAGGATGATGGGTTACGGTGTCCGTGGCAGATCAGTGCATACAGAGAGAGCTCTTCTTGATGCTGGAGATTCTGAAGGAAAAAAAACCAACCACCCAAGAAGTCAACATTTCACCGTTTCCACATCCTCTCTGCGGGCTTCGGCCAGTTTAGGCTCTTGCAAACATCTTATGTAAATTCAAACAGGCTCATGTGGGGATCTTATAAGTAGCATCCTGGTAACATCCTTGGGGGAGGAAAAAAAAAAGAAGAGCCAGAGAGACCAGATTTCCGTCGTGAATTATGCTGCAAGATGCTTGGAAAATTCAATCATTTCCCAAGTCCTCACACCGAGATCCTCAAGTACTCTCCTGGGCAAGGTTGTCGCGGGGCAACCAGAATAAAGCCGTGCAACAAGAAAACACCCCCAGGTCAAAAAAAAAGAGAGGGTCCATTCCCTCTTTGAAAGGCAGAGCCTGGAGGTGCAGGATTACGGGAGCTCAGAGAGTTAACTCCCACCAAAGGAACGAGTCTTTTTGCAATTAAGAACATCTCGACGGCCTCTGGCAAAGAGATGGAACATCGGCTGATCTCTCTTCTTGGTCCTCAAATGACTTCCTCTTCTTCTTCTTCTTCATCCTCCTCATCGTCCTCCTTGGCAATGAAGTGGGCCTTCCTGAATTCTCGCCTGCTGGCGATGGCCCGGGTGAGGGGAGCGGCCGGGAGATCCTGGGGGAGAAGAGACAGCTCAAGGATGGCTTCAGCCACAATCCGGGGGGAAATCTTAAAAAGGATCTTATTAAAAGCAAAAGGCCTGGAGCACAGGGAGGGCAAAGAGAACGAGTCATGCTAAGCTTCAACTCTGGAGCCACGTGGGCGAGGGCTGAGTTAGAGGGTTCGTGACCTGAGACAAATCCAGCCCATTGTGACGGTTATTGAGCTACCTTACAAGACTGTGGTGAAGACTCTACTGTGCAATGGCAAAGCCACATAGGGACCCGAGCTCTTTGGATGAAGGGTGAGATAAAAGTGGAGATGGACTCCATTATCCACGGGATCAGTATCCACTGATGCATTTATCCACACAGTCTGAAAATATTTTTTAAAATAAACCCCAAATATGTGTTTTTAAGGAGGAAGTTAGCAGAACTGGCCACTAGAAAGAACCAGAGATCATGCTATGTGTAGCATTCCCTCTCCTAATTTGGTTCACTCTAATCTGCGTTTTTCAGCATCTGCGGGGTGGGGTGGGGCTTGGAACCAGAGGAGGCCCACGGAATCAATGGGAGCTGACGTACTATATCCTCACAGATTCAATGGGCTTCCTCGAGTTGCAGCTTACGGCTGGATTTCAGCCTACATTGAAAGAGAAATGAATGACGAGCGTTGTTTGGTGTATTTAATTGTAACAATCCTTGCATGCCGTCGGGTCAATTCTGACTTATGGCAACCCTTTCCACAGTTTCCTTGGTAGAGTCTAGTAGGAACGTGGTATCCACAAGGGGCTGGTTCCAAGCTCTGGCATGGATGCTGAAAAACGTGGAAGTATTGAACGCCATACATAGCATGGTCTCTGGCTCTCTCTAGGTCACCGTTAGAAACATATATCCTTAGGATTTTTCTTTTACTATTTTCAGACTGTGGATAAGCGAATCAGCAGATACTGAATGCATGGATAAGGGAGTCATACAGTAAACTTGCTAAGATGGCAGCTGCAATTCTAGGCTTCCTTCCGGCCACCCTACCTGCATGAATGCCACACTGCCGAAGAACCGGTCCACGGGCAGTGGCTGGTTGCTGTCCTCATTCAAGAACGCGCTGTTGTCCACCTCCACCACGTGGTCGTCCGCCTCCTCGGGTTCCATATCCGAGTCATCCGACCACCCGGCCCCGTGGCTCTCCTCTTTTATTTCCTCCTCTTCCTCGTCCTCCAGGGTCCGAAAGTGCGTCTCGAGGAGAGCTCCACGGTCCGTCTCGGGAAAGCCGCTCTCCACGCTGAGATCGGTTTGTTCTCTTGCCGTTTCGCCATCCGTCTCAGGCATCCTCTTGGCGTGCCTTTGCAGCATCCTCTCGAGGTCGGCCGATTCGTGTTCCGAGGAGGATCTCTGGGCGGGCTCTTCTTGGGAGAGAAGACCGGGGCCGGTGCCTTCCCGGACGGCACCTTGCGGGACGTCCACCTTGGCCCGAGTTTTCTTTTCACATTTCAGCTTCTTGGAAGGCCGCCGATGGGTCCCCTTCTGTGAAGGACCCTGGTTCGGAGGGAAAAAACCCAGAAAAGAGAGCTTCAACAGGACAGCTACCGACAAGGAGCGGATAACGAGTTATGAGTCACAAACGACGGGCTGACCCTTGGGAAAGAAGGGCTTCAGTGCCACTGTGCTTGGTGTGGACCTTTGAGAGCTGCTTGAGCTACTCTACAAGATTGTGGTGAGGATGAAGGAGGGAGGGACGTGACCCATACACAGCTCAGGGTTGAGGGCCTCTAGCTGCAGAGTCAGAGTTTGGGAGTTCGATTCCCCCGTGAGGCCTCCTTGACCGGGAATGGACTCCCTCATCCATAGGGCACCCCATCCAGCTCTGCGGTTCTATTGATGATGATGGTGTGTGCTATATTGAGTTGTCAGGATACACGCACAACTGGGGGTAAGTGGGGTTTCTGGGATTTGTAGTCCATCTGGCTGACCCCACGGTTGGGGACTGCTGGATTAGAGGATCCTCTCTGACTGGCAAGAGAGAGCACCTGAAGAGCGACAGAGTGAAACCTCCCCTCTTAGGGTCTGATTCACCCTGGGCGACCTTGCAGGGTTGTTGTCAAGGAGGTGAACAGAGGGGAGGGAGGCACTCGCTGCCCCTGGCCAGTTATAAATATGTCATGAAAACACATATTTCAGCTCCCCCCTTTTTACCATGCGATTCATAGTGTTCGCTGTTATCTGCGGTTTTCAACATCCGCGGGAGGGCTCGGAACCAAACTCCCACGGCTACGGGGGTCCTACTGCATAACCAAACCGTACCAGGAAGTCGGCTTCGTGACCGACCTTCCAACGTATTACTGTATATTTGCATAAATTAACATACCCCAGTTCGGCCGTTCATAAAGCTCTTAGCCTCTCCAGGCCAATTAACAGCATTAGCATATGCAAATAAGGGCAGGCTGGCCCCTCCCGCGACTCACCCTCCGGGCCCGCATGGAGAAGGCTACGTAGCCCCAACCCGGTCGGATCCACCAAGCACCATCGCCGACTTCCGGTAGCGCGGAAGCCTCGCCCGGCCTTCCCGTCCTACTTCCGTCAGACCCGCAGCGCGGCATCCAATCAGAGGGAGGTACCTGGCGGAAGTGTCCGCCTCCCGGTGACGCCACGGCCGCCATTTCTGTCAAGGTCAGTCGCCCTCCCGGTCTTTCCGGGCGAAACCCCACAGGGTTAGATCCGCCATCTTTGTTTTGGGCACGACGCCCATAAATAAAGCGCTCCCTGTGAAGCACCCATTCTTTCCCCTTCGTGCGGAGGAGCTGGATGGCCAAAGACAGGACGGAAAAAGAGGTCGTCCTAGTTTCGGTCGACTTTTGAAGAAGCAGAAAAAAACATTCTCAGGACTGTTCGAAGCTAGAGCGGTCATCTTTTTAGAGGGCACCGTGCGTCGCCTAATGACCATGCGGAACACAGATTTACGAAAATAGTAGAGAGACCTGTAGCAGCGCATTCGGAGTTCAAGAGCCCGGCTTGAGAAATCAATGGGAAAAACCCCACGTTTTGAGGTCTGGGTGTGTTGGGGGGGGGAAGCAAATGCCACCCCCTCGCCCACAACCAGAGGGAGCTATGAAAGCAGGAGTGCCTGTGCAGAGCTATAGGAACAGCCGGGCCAAATTCTCCTTTTAGGGACTACAACGCCCATAATGCTGGCTGGGATGTTATGGGACTTGTAGTCCCCACCTTGAAAGGGAATTTCCCTCGCCTCTGTGTAATATATTTAATTCAGATGCCATGGAAACATGTTGGTGCTTTAAAAGGAAGCTTATCTTTCTCTTTTTAAAGACTATTTGGCGACAACCTGGAAACTCTTTTGCCATAAGAAACAGATTCACCCGATTCCCACAGGCAAACTGGCAGCTTCTGGGCTCTGCAGGTGGAGAGTTCTGGATTTACCCTGGAAATCTCCATCTTCCCATTTCAGAGGTGGAGACTTGCTGCAGAATCTTGCATTTCAAATTCCTTTTGCTAAACAGCAAAAATGCAGACTCTCAGAGGAGAATAGCTATAACTTCCCCGAAGCAGTTCACCCCTTTCTCATTACAGTAACTGGCAAAGTAGTAAATCACTCTGAGGCATTTGTAGGTGAGAAGATGAAAAATGTTTCATTACTTACAGTTGTGGACAGATCAACAGCCAGTTCGCAAACAAACACTGACTGCAACAGACTAAAGAGAGGGGCTCTCTCTGAATTCTGAGGCAAGAGGGAAGGATTGGTTAGTGCTGGATAGATTGATGGCCAGAAAGGTCCATCCTAGTCACTCAAACCACAAGCGCATGGCATGCAAGGTTGTAGAAACTCCAACACAGACAGACCCACTGAAAGCAAAGGTTCTTGATTGTCTTTTCAGCAACGGGTTAACACAACTACTTTAGGCAAATGGGTGGCCCGCAGGCTGGTTGTGGCCTACTAAAACCCTACCTGTTTTGTGGCTCCTGAACCACAACCCTCTTGAAACACAATTTTGTCGGCTCTTCAAAACTTCTGCTGGCATACAAAAAAGATTGTGTGGCAGAAATCCATTATCAGCCTCATCTCCATTTCTGGCTTGCCACAGTCCAGAATCCCTGGCAGGGGTGTTGTATGTTGCTTTCTCTTGTCACATATAAAGTAGGAGCCCCTTATCCACGGGATCAGTATCCACTGGTTCACTTATCCAAGGTCTGAATATATTACAAATATTAACAGAAAAATTCCTAGAAATATATCTTTCTGAAGATGAAGTTATCAGAACTGGCCATTAGAGGGAGCCAAAGACCACACTCTGTACAGTGCTGGCTATTAAAATAGCGTTTGCCGTAATCCACATTTTTCAGTATCCGCTGAGGGGATTCAAACCAATTTCCAGGAAATGTGGGGTCCTCCTGGATGTGAAAAGCCATCCTCTTTAACTCATGGCCTTCTCCAACCAGCCATATAGGAAAGGAATCTTTGAATAGAGCATGGGGTGGCTTAATTCTTAAACATCGAGGGAGAGAAGGCGATACGCCATAGTTTTTGTTATAGATGAATTGCTTTTCTCCTAATTGACGTGGTTCAAAAATGCCTGGGTGGTCTTCTTGTAAGCAAAAGCTGCTGTTCTTCTGAAATAGCAATTTATGGGTTCATTACCTTGTCGCTTTGTAAAACAGCTGAAACTGGTAGTACTGGTAGAAGTCCTGGAGGAGTAATGACCAGACTGGGGTTGTTCAACACACTTTTAGAAGACACAGAGATAAATGAGCTTCTTTACTCCTGAAATGAAATAGATGCACAAAGAAAGCACCTCTCTCTCTCTCTCTCTCTCACCATCCTGGAAGAATCTCTGAGATGTGAGCTTCATTTAGGGTTTCCAAGAAATACAAAGCATGAGCCAAGAGGAAGCCCGTTGAACCTCTGTGTGATTCCTTCTTATGGATTGACACCCTTCTGATCGCTCTCTCGTGGGTGACTGGAAAACGCTTCCTCGACCCGACACAGGCAGGGGTTGCATCCTTTCTGGTGCTGAGATGCAGAAGTGTTTTTCCTCCAGATGAGCCTTCTTGTTGCCAGTCCCAGTTCTGCTGTTGGCTTTTTCTTCCCCAATCAGGAGGGACACTCAAATCCCTGATTCAGGCTGAACGGCAGGCAGAATCTTCCACGGGTCTTAATGAATTAAGCGGGAGTAGTTGTGCTGCAGTGTCCATCGTCCCCCCTTCAGCATGGTCCATGCCTGGAGAAGATGTGCATTGTAGTCCAGTCGCATGGGGGGGGGGGAGGAACGTTTCTGAATAAAGCCTCTGCCGACGCCAGAAAGCGAAAGAGCCTGTAGAGGTTGTTTTGACATTTTATGGGACGTGGACGTGGCTCCAGGAACATAGGTGAATCTCCGTGTGTGTGTACATGTGTGTGTCTTGTGTGTTTGTGTGTGTGTGTTTCACAACAGCACTGTTTTTCTGCCTTGAGGTTTTGTGATATAGATGAATTATCTTTGGCCACTTGATGGCAATATCAGCCAACAGGAAGCGGGGGGATCAAAGCACCTTCAGAAATACAGATATCAGAGCATTTCCGGTACAGTTCAGTGACACCTTACTATGATGCGATGGATGACACGTCCCACATTCTTCAGCCACTTGAGAGGTCACTTTTACTAGAGTCTTTTGCGGCAGAAGTTTGATTGTTCTGCGTAAATACCTTTAGCTGTGCAGCAAAAGTGTAGGGATTCACAGAACAGAATAGGGTTCAGGTTCCTTGGAGTAGACCATGCCCTTTCTTCTCTACCTGGCACTTACAATCTCAGTAACTCACTCGAGACTGTTAGCAGTAGAAAGAGTAAAAAATAAAAAATAAAAAAAATCATTTCCTTCACTTACAGTTCTGAACAGATCAAACAGCAAACTGATGGACGTAACTGACTTTCTCCGAACGCCTCAACGGACTGCTTTCAACAGGCTTGCTGTCTCCAACAGACTAAAGAGAGGGGAAAAGGCACTAAAGCAGAAAGGTGGGGCTCTCTTTGAATTCCAAGGGACTAGGGAACCATTGGTTACTGCTGGATAGATTGACAGTCATCCCAGCCCAGAAAAGTCCTTCCCAGCCACACCTACTACAGGCAGCCTGCGAGGTTGCAAAAACTCCAGCATTTTCCCAGTCTTTTTCAAGGTGGAACAATTTTAAGACCTGTTGTAGCCAAACTTAATCACTCTGATGGCTGTTTTGTTGCCTAGCGGAAGAGTCTGGAGGGAGGTGAACCAGAGGAGGGACTCAGCGCTAGACCACAAGGGTAGGAATGAGAACAAAGAAAGGGCTTTGATGGAATAAGAGAGCCCTAAACTTTCCCCTCTGGGATTGTTTTTAACCTTCACATCACCTTGTTCAAGCTCTTTTTGAACATTCCTGCATTTCTCTTCCACGGTGTTCCTAAAAACAGTGATTCTGAGCTAGAAAATGTTGCGGAGTTTTGGATTTCGGTTAAATCCCTCTAGCTTTGTCATAAAAATACAGGGATTCACTGAGCAGAAACAGCTCCAAATTCCCCAGTTCAGTCCACCCCTTTTTTCTTCTCATTAGCTGGCACTTACAGTCTCAGCCACTCGCTCTGAGACATTAGTAAGAGAAAGAATAAAAACATTTCATTACTTACAATAGGACAGATCAAACAGCAAACTGACCAACATGGCTGACTGACTTTCAGCAGCGGTCCTCCACAGGCTAACTGCTTCCAACAGGCTAAGGAGAGGGAAAAAGCTCTTAGCAGAGAGGTGGGGCTGTCTTTGAATTCAGAGGCAGGGAAGGAATGATTGGTTAGTGCTGGATAGATTGATAGCCACCCCAGCCCAGAAAGATCTCTCTAGCCCCACCTGCTGGAGGAAGCATGCAAGGTTGCAAAAACTCTAACATTGCACTCAGAGAGTATTTTTAAGGTCCCATCTCCATGGAAGAAGGTTTACAGTGGGATGGACCCCCTGAAATGTTAGACTCTCTGTTAGCTGTGTCTGCAGAGGAGCTGTATCCTTGAAATGGGTTCTGTTTGCACCTCCCAGCTCAGCATTTGCATGGTGCTTATAAAGGAGCAGAAGTTTTTACTTACTCGTTTGCTGATGATCGACCAACTTTGTGCGGTTGACCTGGGAGGGTTCTGGAAATAAAAAGTGCCCCACCTCTGGACGCTGTGCAATTTTTACAACTGCTGACCGAGAGAGAGGAAGCCTCTTTCAGGAACAGAAGGTTTCCCTGTAAACATCCTGCATTATTTAATCTGATTCCTTTGGGGAATTTAATATATATAAAAACCCTGTATGGTGTAAACATATCCTTCTGCTACGTACGCAGGCTTGACAATGACTGAGAAGCCTGTTTTACAGGAGTCTCATTAAAAATGAACAGGCCATGTTGGTTTTGGCAAGTTAAAATTACTTAAGCTGCTGTACGGGGATGAATATTTGATGCCCCAGTTTATTAAATATCTGCCAACGTCAGGCTGACATGAAATGTGTACAGATCTTTTCCTTGCCAGGGCCAGGTTGGCTGGGAGTTTATTTAAAAAGGACAAAGAAGGGGATGGGAGCCACAGAGGGCTATCAAATGAAGATGATGTGGAGAACGTGGACGAGGAAAAAAAACCATCGCCTTCACTCGGGCCATTCAATAAAATGGATCAGGAAAAGGATTTGGCACAGACCCAAGAAAGCCAGAAAACTCTGGGTGTTTCAAGGGCAGTGTGGAGCAGGTATACAGGGAAGGACAGTTGTGGAATGATGATGATGGAGATTTTGAGCAGAAACCACGATTTCATCTGCCGGAATATCGCTGTTAACTGACGGACTCTCTTTCCTGGGGTGCGAGATAACACGTCTTTCAAGTTTTCCATGGTGGTTATGACCTGTAAAAAAAAGTGAGGAAACTCTTTAAGCGATGCCAAGATATTTAACTACTGTCCCCCCAAAACTGCTGTAGAGTCTTGAAATTCTGGTAAAATTACTTTGCTACACAGTGGAATTAAGGAAGCTCACAGGAGAGAATAGCTTCAAGTTCCTCAGATAGTCCACACTTAACTGGCTCTCTCAGTTATCCACTCTGAGATGTTAATAGGAGGAAGAATAAAAACGTTTCATTACTTACAGTGATGGACAGATAACATGAAGCTCACAAACAGAACTGCCCACAAAGATCTGACTTCCAGCAGACAAAGGAGAGGGAAAGAAAACTCTCAGCAGAGAGGCGGGGCTTTCTTTGAATTCAGAGGCAGGGAAGGAATGATTGGTTGCTGCTGGATAGATTGACAGTCACTCCAGCCTAAAAAGGTCCCTCCCAGTCAAACTAACTACAGGCGGCATGCAAGGTTGTAAAATCTCGAACAGTGCCCCCCCTTCTCAGGTTTGTTCTAGCAGAAATTCTGTGGGTCTCTTTTGCAGATGATAAAAAATGTTATTAATTCTGTAGATTGCCTAGAAAGGAATGGACGTAGTCCTTGCCAGAGTTTTGACCTTCTGGAGCTTGCTTGTCTCTATATAAAACTTACAAAACCCCATTCGGGGTGTGTGTGTGTCAAAGCTGTGGTTTCTTCTCCCTGAACATTGGGTGCATGTTAGTCTATCATTTTAACAACCTTGTAGGAATAATCCGTTCAATTTTTTAAAAAATGCAAATAGAATTGAGTGAATGTCTCATACATGAATCAGTGACGCCACACCTCCATTTGAGCCTGGGGAGCGTCAGAGGCATCTGCCAGGACACTGCTGAGGTTGAAATATCGGTGCATGTTCTCCGGGAACATTTATTGAGCGGCTCCGGGCTCCAATAAAGCTTTTATTTACATTATTCATCATTAGATCTGGATAAAACGGCAGAAGAACCACATCCACCAAGGGGATTTTATGTATTTTGTATACGGACGCAGCCCCCGATGAAGCTCTTGTGGAGTTAATTAGGAGAGGAGGGGGAGGCCTTTGAAAACATTGACTCTCCGCCCGCCGGGTTTTCTGGGGACCTCTTTGTACTCCATCACTGCCCCCTGAGCTGCTGTAGTAGTCATAGAAAACAGCCACCTCAGGATTTAGGGGCATGAGCTACAACGAAGGGGGAAAGACCTGGGCAGGTTTAGCCTGGAGAAAAGATGACTGAGGGGAGAGAGGAGAGCATTTTTCACATTTTTGAAAGGCTGTCCTACACAGGAGGGGCAGGATCTGTTCTCGATCATTCCTGAGTGCAGGACATTTAAGAACGGGCTCAAGTTTCGGGAAGACAGATTTCAGTTGAATATCAGGAAAAACTTCCTAACTGTTAGAGCAGCGCGACAAGGGAACCAATCACCAACTGTTGGAGCAGTATGATGATGGAACCCATGACCTCAGCGGGAGGGGGTGAGAGGTCCAACGCTGGAGGAGTTCAAGAGAAAATTCGGCAACCCTCTGTCAGACGTGCTTTGACTTGAATTCCTGCCTTGAGCAGGGGGTTGTATTGGATGGCTTTAGAGGCCCCTTCCAACTCCATTATTTTACGGGCGAATAACTTTTGGCAGCATGCCAGGGTTCTTCATAATGGTCCAAATACTTTGCCTGTGTTGCTGTTGTTGGTATGTCTGTGGAACTCCTTGCCACAGGATGGGGTGATGGCATCTGGCCGAGATGCCTTGAAAAGGGGATCGGACAGATTCCTGGAGGAAAAGGCCATCGCAGGTGACAAGCCATGATGGGGATGTATAATCTCCAGGCTTCGAAGGAAGGGACCTCCAAAGGTCTGATGCTGGGGAGGGGGATCAGGAGACAGGGATCTTGTTGTCTCTTGTTTGCTCCCAGAGGTGTCTGGTGGGGCCACTGTGAGATACAGGGAGCTAGACTAGAGGGCCTGATCCGACTGGGCTCTTCTTAGGTTCTTATGTCCTGTCTGCAGGATGGCTATGTCTTACTGCTTTGACTATGTTTTTGTTTTTGGTGTTGCTTTTGTTTACTTTTTTAAAAAAAGTATTGGCGTTTGTTTGATCCTTTTGACTATCTCTGGACTCCCTGTCGTTAGCTTTAGGTATGGTTTTTGAATGATGCAAGCCTCGTTGGCTCCTTCGCAGGGAGAAAGGTAGGGGGAAAATATTTTAATTCCATAAATTAAATAAACAAATGCAGCCGGTGGCTTTCTCTTCCAGCCTTTCTTTTCATTTCTGGCTCTGTGTGTGTGTGTGTTTGTGTGTGTGTGTGTGATCAGTGCTGCAAAAATCCAATATACGTATAAGTATTTCTTTTTCAACCAGTGAGTCATGGTGCCAGCCGAGAAGCTAACGAACCCAAACACAAACTTTTTATTTCTGGCATTGCTCACTCTGCGATTTATCCCCTCCTGCGGAAACCCCAGGAATCAGAGCAGTCCCTGACGAATTTGGCCATCCGCCTGATGCAGGCCAGTGTGGGTGGCTTTCCCCTTGTCGCCTGGATGAAATGAGCTCTCCGAAATGAAAGTCCGAGTTTAGGAAGCGTGAAATCCTCTGCATTTTTCAATGTGATCCCTCCATGCTAAACAACTAAATTCAGTATCCTTATACGAGCCCCACTGGCCATGATAATACATAATAAATATAGCCTTATTAGCCCAAACAACAACAAAAATTTCCACTAAAATAAGTGTGCAAGCTTTCAGAACTGCTGGTTCCCTTCTTCAGGCAAAGATGTTGCAAGCAGTAATTTTTCCAGAATTTTGAATTTCTAGTAAAATTCCTAGTGTGTGTGTGCGTGCGTGCTTCCTTGCTATCTATCTATCTATCTATCTATCTATCTATCTATCTATCTATCTATCTATCTATCTATCTATCTATCTATCTATCTATCTATCTATCTATCTATCTATCTATCTATCTATCCTGTTTGTCTACATTTTTATTCCAACTAACTAATGACAGAGCAATGACATCAAACAACAAGAGGGGCAATGGACAGATAAACAATCTTGCAATGGCCTTACTCTTTGGCTTTTCTAGATCCACAGACAGACTGGTACTCTTAGACTCTCTTTTTCCTTTTATCTTGGTGGAACACTTTCCTTTTTCTCCCCTTGCTCCTTCCATTTCAAAATACTCAGTGTGCTTCACACGGTCTATGTACAAATTGCTCTTCCTTCCTTCCTTCCTTCCTTCCATCCTTCCTTCCTTCCTTCCTTCCTTCCTTCCTTCCTTCCTTTCTT